CTGTCGGGAGTAGAGCCGCTGCAGGAGAAACGGGGAGTTTTGGGAGAAAAACATGAAGTGAAGCTGTGTTTCGCTAATAAGATTTTGTGGGGAAGATTAATAAGTTTGCTGATGCTATCACTCTGCCCTTTACTTCATTAAAATTCATTTTGTGATAAAGGGCTGATAGAAAATTACAGGGCAGGCCTGGAAAAGTTTAAGAAAAGTCGTGGTTGTGGTGACTTTTTGTGTCTAACGTAGTTTTACAGTATCAGAGAAGTGGACTGCTGTCAAACTTTGCATATGCTGATCTTAGCATATTTAATTCTCTTCTATTGTTCCAACAGAAAGTTATCACTGTTGGCTGCCAGACTGACACGTACATCAGCCCAGGCTACATTTGAAGGTTTTGAATCTTAGTCTACTGGTTGGGTATGATTAGTTTGTTTTGAATGAAAACTACATGAGCATCATTATCTAGAAATCTGGATCCATGATCAAATCTTCAAAAAATTTGCATACGCAGTACATGCCAGCCTCACATGCTCCTATCACCCATCTTGATCCCAGTTCTGGTTCTTCTAGGTCTGCAGCCATTGTTGGAGCTCCTCAGTTTGAGCTCCTCCATATGGTCATATTATTCAGGGGTGGGCAGTAAATGTTCCTAAGGGACCACATTAGAAACCGGGACTGTTGTGAAGGGCCCGTCAATAAGCTGAATTTGGTTCTGCTATTAAATGTATATACGTTTATACAAACTTATTGTTAAGATCCTCCACATTGGTGGCGGCTTCCCATGTATCTCAAATTGTGGGACAACGTGGGTAAATTAATTGTCCACCCCTCCCAAAAATTTGTTTGCTTGTTTGTTTGTTCTTTAGGGCTAGCTTTACCATATCTGTATGAGACAGTCGAGTAGTGGCTAAACCTAGCAAGTGGAAGATCCCTGGTTCAAGTCTGGAAATCCCTGGGAAATTCCTGGGAGAGTTGCGTCTGAATTCATCTGCTGAGGCTTAGGTAAAAATAAGACCGGCAGAGAGAAATTAGTTATCAGGTAATGGTAGCAAGCTTGGTTATGAAGGGCATTCATAAACTTCACAGGTGTAACACACATATCTGCTAATTACTGATAACTAATTGACCTGTTAAAATCTGTAAAATCGGTCACTGTCATTCACAAAAACTGAAGCACAAAGTTCTTGGATAGTGTGTAGCAGTGTAGCAGGTTATTCCATTAAAAATGCTCTGAAATGCACCAATAACACAAGCTCAACAAAGAGGTCCAGTTCAGAATTAGTGCAGGTGAAGTAGGTACCAAACCCTCCAGCTGTGTAGGTCTGGACAGCAGTCAATCAAAGTGGTGACCCAAAGATCACCCCTCTACAGCTGTTATAAAGAGGAAAAACTATCCAAAAAAGCTTTTAAATGCTGTAAAGTTTGGAATTTTAAAATGGAAATCTATGACTGACTCATGCTTTGAAACTTCCAGTAAAGGAAGTGCAGTTTGTTACACTTCTGTTGTTTGATGGAAGACTTAACTGATGATGTCAGAGGTCTCCCCCAAATCATTAAAACAACTAAAAACATTTTAAAGCGACAAAGCAAAGGAGGATTTTCCAAAACCTGGCAACCCCTTGTTAAAACTAGCATTAATAGAATAACAAATAACATCTTTACAGCTTAGAAACCCTCTATAAAAGGCATCTTATTAAAGCACCACTGATATTTGAAAACGCTCTACAGCTAATCAAGCAGCCTCACAATTTTCATGTGACAGGAAGGATCTGTAACACGCTTGACTGCTGCCTCTGGGCTCCAGGGTCATGAAAAAAATGTCCCAGCACATCAAGGACTGTAAAAATCATTGACACGATAGAGATAAGGGATAACTCTGTTTAAAGGACACTTTTTAGGAGGTTCACTGCTCTCCTGCCAGGTCTGCACTGGTTTAACTCCTTCCTGCTCATCCCTACCTCCTAATGATAAAACCAGATATATGTTGACTGATTGCTGTACAAAGTTGATTTTATATCAAGGAGGTTATGCAAACAATTTTCAATTATTTCAATTTTTGGGACAGTTCTGAAGTTTGAGGGAGGGAAATAAAGACATCTGCAAACAGATATATAGAACAACACACCTGCTAATAAAGGTCCAGCATCTACAACAATAATGGTGCGTATGTTTAAGCAAATAAATTAATCTGAAGGTCATTTATAAACAGTTAATTTATGTATGATTACTGGGACATAAAGTGAGGCTCCACTGAAACTAATGTAAAAACTTAAACGTCTCCCTGACTGTAACGTTGCAGTCCAGTGCTTCCACCTGCTGGTCTGTGATGGTAAGTGCATACACTGACATTTTAAATCAAAAAGGAAATAATACTAAACCTGTCTAAGACTTTTTCATTTCCATTTGCTGCAGACTAAAATTCAAACTACCCGATTTTTTCGTCATTTTTCAACTACTTAAAAGAAACTTTAAGTGTAAAAAGAAAAAAATGAAGGACTTTATTACACTCTCCATCTGCGTTAAGCAGTACTGTATCCTTTACTGTATCCTTTACTAATCCTTTAGAGATTTAATCCAAACACACGTGTCCTTACTTTATACCTTCAGTGTGTTTAATCTTACAGAAATTGATACCACTCTTTAAAAAAGTGCTTCTACTACTTCCCCAGACGTCTGCTATACCGTGTAAGATCTGAATTCGATCGATTCCCCGCTCCTTCTGGCAGCAGGCCATGTTGCAGATCTCTCTAAATGCTCTAATTGACATGTAGGTTTGAGATCCTGTTGGAAACCCCTGTCCTGAAAAATACACCTGTGAATAAAAGGAAGGATCATAAGAAATGAAAGTCAGTCACTAGAATAAATATGGCAATATGCACACGGGAGTGTTTGCATCGGGCGTGAATGGAGTCCAGGTTTGTCTTTGGGATCTGTTCCTCCAAAGGGAGATGGCATATCTGCATTAGTTGGAAGCATTTGGCAAAGGAAGACACTAAGCAAGGAGAAGTTTTATCTCAGTGAGTATAAACAAGACTGCAAGCTGCCTGCAACCTGGGATTTCCTGACTAGGGTGCTCTGAACCACCCAGAGATGGAGGTTTTAAACATGGTCCTGTTATTACTCTGTGGGAGAAATCAGTGCACAGACCTGGACCTGTTGGTCACGGCAGGCATCGTCACATTGTGAATAACCCAAACTCTATTAATGTAGAGCTGGGGGCTTGAAGACTGATAGGTTTAAGTTAAGGTGTTTAACCAGTTTGGGTGTTTGGGACAGTTGGCAAACCATTAAACCATTAGTGTATTTTTTTCTGGTTTCCTGAGTTAATGAGATATTTGTGAAATTCTGCAAAAACTGTTCATAAAACGATAAAAATCTGTTCTGTTTTTCTGAATGATCCAGATAACCCAGAAGAGCCTCTGCTGACTTGATGTCTATGAGCAATAATGACTCCTGTGCTACAGTTTTCTTTGTTTTAGGTTTGAAAAACTGGAGATACTGACATCATTATCAGACTGTCAGTTTTGTTTTTATAACACATTTCACAGCACGTAAAGTTGAAAAAAAAAGTTTTTTTTTAAAGAACTATGCACATCACGAGACAACAAAATAAATAAAACAAAACTTTACAAAGAAGTAAAAGACAAGCTAACGCCGACACACAGGGTTATTAATTTAAGCTTGTGAGAATGAAAAAGGTTTCATCTGTTTTTTAGTGTAGACACAGCCCACTGCTGCTGAAAGCATCTTCAGCAGACTTAGATCTTCTGTGAACAGTTCATGGATCTGCACCTGATGACCTAAGAGGTCTGACTGGGTTATAGTCAGAGGTGTGCTGGGGGCACTGGGAGTTTTATGAACTAACAGAGGGGTTCTAAGAGTTCTGTGTTGAACTGGGAGTCAATGAAGTGACTTCACTGCTGAGGTAATATGGTCAAATTTCCTGTAAGGCTCCTGCATTATGATTACGTTACCCTGCTACATGTCTTGATGGAGCTTTAGTAATCTAGTATGTTTGTTAAAGCAATTTCTCAGAGTCAGTTTGAGATTACAGAGTCCAAAACAAAAACTAGGAGCAGTGAGTCCAGCAAACAAAGCAGGAGCAGTTCTGGAGGCCGACCACGTGGCCAGTGGCACCTCTCTGACGGAGGTGATGGAACTTCTCCAGCAGCTTGGCAGGCGGGTGGCAACTGTAGAGACAAAAACCCTTGGGAAGCTTGGCAGGTTCCGGCAGGGCCGAACCAGGCGTGGCAGGTGCCGGTGGTGCTGGAGTAGGCGTGCCAGGCCTGGCAGGCGGTGCCAGACCAGGTGTGGCAGGCTTGGAATACTGGCATTGCCCGACCGGGCAGGGGATGGTTGGCAGGTGGCGGCAGTGCCAGACCAGGTGTGGCAGGCGCTGACGATACCGGCAGTACCAGACCACCTGTGGCAGGCGGCGGTGGTGCCACACCAGCTTTGGCAGACTTAGCAGGAGCCAGCAGTGCCAGACCAGGTGTGGAAGGCGTGGCTGGATGTGGCTTGGCAGGTGCTGGCTCGGACGGAGCACAGACCACTGGGTGGGGTTGGAGCAGGAACAGACAGCTGTATGAAGACAGCTGTACGCAGGCAACCTCTGGTGGAGACAGAACGGGACCAGACAGTGGACGACCCCAAAAAGACCAGATGGCACGGTGGCCTCTAGTGGAGATGCCTCTAACTGTGGGTGTGCAGGGCCACAGCAGGCTCTGGTGACTGTGGCTGATATTTAAGCCTGGCCACTGTACTCCTGAGAGCAGGTGTAGGCGCAGGGACTGGCAGGACACCCAAGGAACTGGTAGGTTTCCAGGAGCAAAAAAAACAAAAAACAGACATGACATGGCTGCTTAAATAAGCATTTAAAGATGGCTGTGGTGTAGTAGCCACTATTACTACTATTAGGATATTAAAACAGTTTACAACACAAGCAATAAAAGCCAAGAAAGAACGTTAGCAGCCTGTTCTAATTACCCCAGCGACTTTCAGTAGGTGTGTCCCTCGCACTGTGCCGTAGTAGGGCTTAACACGCATTACCGGAAGCTTGGAGGTCCTTTCCCCCGCAGACTCCAACATGGTGAGCAGTTTCCCCTCAGTGTTCCTCTCTGAAATAATCCCTAAACATCACTTTTATGTTTTATACTACGAAACTTTTATGTGTCCTGCTTTAATTTCTAGCGTCTTATTAAACGGAGGAAGTTTAAATTGTAGCTGAAAGCGTTGATTCTTGCTCTTAATTGATATTTTCAGACAACCTGATCCTTCTGTGCGGGTTTGTCAGCCGCGGCTTGCTAGCTCGGCAGCGGCTATCGCTGTTAGCCCGCTTAAAAATGAAACAAAATAGTATTACTGACAGGAAGCAGAGCTGTGCAGTATTTTTATGCATTTATTTTAAATCTAGATACAATTTAAATCCTAAAATATGCCACAAATGTTTCCGGTGTGTGTCCCGGCTGGGCCGAGGTCTGTGCTAGTATGGGTTCAGTTAGCGCCGCATGCTAACAGGGCCCACACTCGCCGGCCTTCCCAACGTGGTTTGGGTTCTGCTATAAACTCGCTGTATTTGTTCGTGCCTCAGGAGAATCAAGGCCGGTTGTATTTCATTTTGCTAACCGGCTTTGTCGCCTCTTCCCCAGGCCAGAGGACCGAAGAAGCACTTGAAGCGCGTCGCAGCGCCGAAGCACTGGATGCTGGACAAGCTCACCGGAGTGTTTGTAAGTAATGTTTCCACGTACATACTGAAGACCCGTGGATGTTCACTTCTGTATCTCAGTGTGAAACCGTGGATTTTGTTTATTAATGCAGTGGTTAACACTGTCGGATGAAAGCTAGTCTAACATCACAGGCAGTTTGATTGGAGCAGGGTGAATATGCCTGTTTAAAAACATTGAAGTGTACGTCTTTAATCCTGCATGTGTTTTAGTCCATTATTATTTGAGATGGTCACGCATCACAGCAACACTTAAAAGATAGGTTATGCGTATTTAATTAATAAGATGTTAATTATTGTGGAACAGACTAATGCTAACATGCTCCATTTAGGGTTAGCCACAGCAAGTCACCTGCCTCCATCTCGCCCTATCCCTAGCGTCCTTTTCTGTCACATCAGCCGTCTTCTTGCTTTTCTTTCACTCTTGCAGCAGACTGAATACTGTAGCTTGAAATTATTTAAATCGTGGCAGCTTCTTGTCTGGTAGAAAATAGAAATAGACTGTGGTGCCATGTAGCTCAAGTAATGGTGTTAAATGAGATCGACAAACTAGGGATAATTTTGCATTATAACACACAGATTATACTTGCTTATGTGACGCTCTGAAGGATGGAGAAAGTGTAGCACTTGCTTAAAGTGGAAATGTGGGTCTGTGACTGCAGTAAAAACTGTATCACACTTGAACTGATGCTTAATTTCATCTGCTGGTACTGGGTGAGAAATGATGGCCGGAATAGAGACTGTATCGCTTTTGTCATTTTAAATCTGTTTTTGTAGACGATAATGTTTATTCTGCTGGAATTGGTGTTTACATATTTTGAATCATGTAAGATGGTCTGTTAACATTGTCAGGTTACCCAGTGTGTTTGTGATTGACATGTGTGTATTTATGTGAGAGTGCTGTGAATGATCAAATAATAGTAATTGGATATGCCCTCTACACAGGTGTTATGTGCTTGGGTGACAAAAGTCCACAGAACTATCAGGTTTTTACTTTATTATACCAAAAATGTTTTTTGGTCATATTGCGTTTTACTGAGCTGAAACAACAAAGGAATTTCCTAGCTGCTTAAAAGCTGAGCTGTCTTCAGTGAGTCTTTCATGCTGGGCTTGACCTCTTGCTCCACGATGTTGGACTGTAGCTGGTGAACTGGGCAGCCAGGGTCAAAAACACGAGTGTGTGAACTTTGAATACAAGTGCATAAAGCAGACATGTGAATCTGCTACAAAGTTGACTGTATTTGTGGGGAATACTTGACTAATGATCATGAAGTGGAGCACGCACAGAAATCATGAAAAAGCTTCTTGTTTACAGACCATAACGCCTGCTTCCTTCTCCTCCTCAGGCTCCTCGTCCTTCCACCGGTCCCCACAAGCTGAGGGAGTGCCTGCCCCTCATCATCTTCCTGAGGAACCGCCTCAAGTACGCCCTGACTGGGGACGAGGTGAAGAAGATCTGCATGCAGAGGTTCATCAAGATCGACGGCAAAGTCCGCACTGATGTCACCTACCCTGCTGGATTCATGGGTGAGTTTTAGAGACTTCTCCACAGCTCAGATCAGCTGAAGGGTTCAAAATGTCCCAACTTCATTAAATTATGAAAAATTAGCTCCATCATCAATCATCTAATTTTTCTGGTGAATTAGCTTAAGTGTGTGTGTGTGTGTGTGTGTGTGTGAGAGAGAGAGAGACCAGAAAAAAATGTTAATGTAGTTGCTGTTTTAATGCACCACTTATTAAATATAAAATGACAACCAAATATTCGGCTCCAGAAATTAAATTAGGTCCTGAAGGAAATTAAAAGCAGCAGCTTTGTAATTTTACTGGCTGAGTTAAGACTGTGTATTTGTATGGAGAGAAAAAAATTATAGAACTAAAGATTCTCCAAAGCAGAGGGTAATTTTAGACCAAACACACTCCTGAGTGTGTGCTACACAGGTGGGAATACCACAAATCAAAGTAATGACGTCAAATTTGTCTGCCAATAAAACATCAAATGCTGCCTGTAGTGAGATGACTACCTGTTCAAGAGCTGAAATCTCCAGTTACACTTACTGCTCGTTCAGAAAAGCCTGAATATAAAAAATGTGTTTAAAGTTCCCCACTTTGAATTTGTTCTTAAATCACGTGAGATCCCAGTTTGTAAACTGTGTGTGATGTAACATTGGCTCACCTGCTGACCAGGGTTGTTGAGTGTTTTGTAATTGGTTTTAGATTAGCTTCAGTGTTAGCTTCCCTTATAGTTTTTTTTAGGATTCAAAGTTTCAGTCTTAAAGTTTAAGTAGTTCTTTTTTTAGTTTTTTCACATTTAGTTTTAGTTGACTGTGATAACTTTGCTGCTGACAGATTCTCAGAATGAGTGGCTCTGTAAATAGTCTTTGGATGTTTAGCGCAGAAGGAGCAGTGATGAATTTGTTGGTTTGATCAGCAATGAGCTGAAATTACACAGCCAATTCCTCTAAGAAGTTCTGAGCTCCAAGAAGACTTGTAACGTTAAGTGTGTGCCTGAGCCTCCAGTGTAAATACTTACAGGACTGTGTTGATATCAGAGTCCGTGGGAACAACGAGCAGCATGTACTCACAGCTGTAGCTTTATCAGAGATGTGGAGAGACTGGGAAAAGCGAGTTTCCAAAATAACCTGAGTTACTGCTTCAGTAACTATTCCAGGGAAGTAAATCTCCGAACGCCGGCTTTGTCTCTTTGCTTGTCAGTGACGGCAGCCAAGCCAGTAATTGAGAGCAGGCGTTTGGACAGCGGTGACAGTCGCGCCGCCATCAGTTCTCTCTCCACCTCAACACCAGCCAACAGCCTCACGTGGAGGTGTGGCTTTTTAATATCCAAATCCAAGGGAAGCCTCCGCTGCAGGATGTTCGTGGCCTATTTATATACTGTACGTGCACGCTAAACACTCGGTTACTGCAGCTGTAATATTGATGACTCTGGTGTTTTGTGTTATTGGATATGTACTCGGTACCTTAAAGGTCAGTTTGAATGAGCTTGTTTTTAGGTGTTGCTGTTGGGTTACCTTTTTGACTTCTGTGTCATTTCAAGCAAAAACGTTCATTAAAACCTGTTGCATATTCATCTGAGGATGTCCCCATCAACGAACAGCG